TTAATACTACTCCCAAAATATAACTCAGCTCATATGTTTAAAAACATTTCCTCATCCTCAAACTTTGAGATTATTACAAAAGGTTCTCTTAAAAGAGATAGTACTCAAAACTCCCCATGAACTCATTTGGAAATCGATGTTTCCCCTCATTTTAAATGTAAAAACATTTACTCTTTGAGAATACTTAGTTCTCATATATTCATTTTGAAAAATTAAACTCAACTCTAATCATCTTCATACTCAAGTACTCAAGTCTTAAAACAAGTTTAAAATTTTTGTAAAAGACTTCTCAAATTGACTCGAAAGAACTCCCTTGAACTTTACTTTTAACTCTATCTTGAATTTGAAATGTGAATCCAAGAATTATGCTTTGAAATGTAGGACCTCTCAAAGATTTAAGAAGGTTAAGATAATTGAACATAAGAACAAGTGAAGACCTAAATTAAAGAACACTGGCACGACGCGGAGATGGAATGAAATTTTTGGTCGCGAAATAATTTTTAAGGAAAAGGACTCCGTATCCTCACCGCGGCGCAGATAAGGGGGTAGTTATCTGGACTAAAATTCTAAGCGCCTCCGCGACACGGACCTGGGCGCAATTATTTGTCCGATCTTTTCTTCTCCTTCCCAATCTCGATTCAACTCATACCCACTGCAAATCTAAGTTCAAAATACACGAATTCTCATGACCCAGAACATTTTCAGCGAAAACCCACATAAGAACTACATTCATTCGCAACTCTCACCTCAAGAACTCAACAAAAACTTCATTATCAAAGAACGAAGCACAAAACCTCAAAAACTCAAAGCATTCAACCTCAAGAACGAAATTACGGATAAAAATCACATGATTGGCGTATGGGTGAACGAACCCAACACTATGAAAGCTTACATACCTCGATTCGCAAGAAATCTTGGTGAAAGACATCATTTTGGTGCTATACATATTCACTATAAGTATGTAATTATAACAATAATGGTTAAGAAAGGTCTTTAAAATAGATAATTATGATAGATAATCAAAGATTAAAAAAAACTGAAATTTTAAAGAACCCATTTATAGGTTATTTAAGAGCAACAATTAGCTTGAATGGGATGAATGCAATAGAGTGGGAAAATATTAATTAACTAAGGGACTTTTGAGTTTTTCTCATAATTAAGAGTTAAAGAAAATTAATTTTCTAACATAGCATATGCAACATAAATTAAGAAAATTAAAGGAGTGTTTTTTTTATAAACATAACACATTATATAGGAGTAATGAAAAATAAAGATTATTATGTTTTTATATTAAAGAATATGAATAAATGAAGGAGTAGTAATTGACATATTCATTTTTGTACAATAATTAAAATACATAAAAAAAAAAATTTAAAAAATTAAAATAAAATAATAAAATAATAATAATAATAATAATAAATATATATATATATATATATATATATATATATATAAATAAATAAAATTAAGAGATAATTTTTATATTCTAATATATAGATATAGATTATACATATAGATATATAGATTGACTGTAAGTAAATTAAATAATAAAGAGAGATGAATTTAAAATATTAAGATCATTGTCATTTTGTAATTTGGAGAAGGTAAAAAATATTAAAAATTTTAAGAGTGAAAATTAGAGAGAAGTGAATTATAGATATTTTTTAGTCCTTGTAAATAGACATATGGAGAGTTTTTGTTGTAATTGTTCCTCTACTAATAAAATATTTGTGTACAATAAATTAAGTAATTACCTTTACAGTAAAATAATTGATTAAATAAGAAAAAATGCCTAAAAAGAGGGACACCTCCTCTATGTTTCTCCTTTACATATAAGAAATGGGAGGATAAAATACTAATTGACATATTTACTTTTGTACAATAATAAGCAAATAGAATTGTAGAAAAAATATAAAATAAATAAATAAAATTGATTTTAAAAAAAGGTGCATCACTTGTCTAATATTGATAAGAAGCTCTCCTTTCCTTAGTCTCGAATTTTGATCCATCTTGCGCTCCTCTAAAATGTTCCTTTAAACATTTACCTGTAAAATAAGAAGTTGGACTCCATGTGTTAGAAACTAATTAGTCCATGTAAAATATGAAAATTTATACATAATTTTTTTTATTAAAACATAAATATTTAACCATAACACCCTAAACCATTGATATGATAGCAATTTTTGTCAAATGTGGCATGTATTTCTGATACTTATATAGTGATAGGTGAAGTCATGAGAATTAATCACAAGGAAGATAAAAAAATCTTTTTTTATTTTGTAGAGTAACCATTTAGGTGGAGTTATTAATTAGAGGATTAATGATAGGCTTTTGGATTTCATAAACTGAAAAAAATTATGAAAAATAAAGAAGAGTAAATGAGGGAGGTGTAATTAAGAAAATATAATTTTGAAGTTATTTTTAACCTTTTAATATAGCATATAAGTAGAGAATAAATAAGAAGATTCAAAAAAATGAGAAAAAGAAATAAATGTGAATGGTGGCCATTGAGAGGTGTCACATCACCTAGATTATATTTAGCTTTATTATATATATAGATTCTTAGTCTTATATCGAAGGTACATGTTAATTTAAGCCTTTCAAATGGGAGGGGTGCTACACGCACCATTTCCTTTAACCCCAAATCTCTGTTTAAGGGATTTTTTGACCTAAAATTTTAGTTTAGTTCTTTGATATTACTATCCATTTGTAATCTTATTCTCCCGACGGAGTCTCACATTAGTCGGTTAGCAAAAATCCCTCATCTCTCTACCAAATGTATGTAGATTGAGTTTAGATATAAAAAAAAACATTTCAAAAAAGAGATAAAAAAAAATTTGTAGATGGAAAGCTCTCCCATGGCTATAAATGGAGGTTATAGAGAAGATGAAAAGCGGGTTTACTTAATAAAGAAAAAAAATTAAATTAGTAATGTCACGTGGAACTAAAATACTGGTTTTGGAGTGAATTTTTACTCATCCAGGCGCTCCTCAAATGTGACATAATACATGCTCTAAAAATAGATCAAAATAATATATTTATTGTGATTGAAAATTATTGTATGAGATGGTAGGACCTTGCGTATTTCAAGTATCTACTTGTTCAAATGAGAACGAAAATAGTAGAAGGAGAAGAAAACGATAAAGAGGAAGATGATGAGGAATAAGAAACACATGCTAGATAAATCACAATTTTACCTTAATAATCACCCTATATAATCTTCATGTAATATAAAATTTGTTCTTTTCAAATTCTTAATTTAATATAAAATTATGTTTAATACTAAATTTCTAAATAACATATTTGCAAGCAAATATTATATACATTAATGGACAATTCAAATAAAAGTGAAATCATCAATGAAATGCAATTACATAAACATTACATAAATACTCAACTAAATTATTGTTGTGATTTTTATAATTATTATGTTATGTATTGTATTGTTATCTTGTATATAGATTATTTGTTATGTATTGCATTTTTAAATTAAAAAAATTATCTTATCATTTAAATTTTGGGCATTCTTCAAAGTGAAAAATTATAATAATTTTATATTATACCACTTAAAGTGACGATAATTTTAAAAAATGAAATATTATTAATTCATGATGTAGTATATATTAAATATAATTTATTTTAAAATATTATATTACATTAAAAGGGAATTACGAATATTAGAGATTTAATCAATGATCTTATGTGATTTATAATATGTTAATTACAAATATTATATAATAGAACAAACAATAAAATAATCAAAAAGTGAAATAGAGAGTATGATATTCAAACCATCTCAATCCCTCTCTATTTTACCCTCCATTCTCTATATTTGGAGAGTAAAATAGAAAATTGTGTCTCCAGCCACATTCTAAAAAGCCCTCTATTCTTTATTTGACCATCTCCAACCCACTCTATTTTACTCTCCATTTTCTACATTTCGAGAGTAAAATAGAGAATTGGGTCTCCAACCACACTCTAAGAAACTCTCTATTCTCTATTTCACTTTTTCATTATTTTAATATTATTTGTAATTAACATATAATTTTTCATATTAGACTATTAATTAAATTTCTAATATTTGTAATTCTTTTTTAATGTAATACAATATTTTTTAAAAATGTATTATTTAATATATACTACTTTCATCCCGAATTAATAATATTTCAAATATTTTTTTCAGTTTTCGTCATTTTAAGTGATGATTTGATATAATTATTAATTTCACTCTGAAGAATGCACAAAATTTAAATGATAAAGTGAAAATTTTAATTTAAAAATAAAATAAATAACATAATAATTTTAAAAATCACAACAATAATTGGGTAATCCGGTAAGTCTTTTTCAAATTTAACAATATTCCAAAAAAAAAAAAACAGTGTATGATTCAGAGAATTTTCGTGCTTGTGATTGTGGTTATGCTTGTTGATTTCTTTTTTCAATTATTCGTAGTTGTTCTTTAAAATTGTAGGATAAACTATAATTTTATATTAAATAAATAATTGAAAAAAAATATTATATTACATGAAAATTATATAGGGTGGTTATTTTTAAAAAAAAAAACAAGAACAGATTTATATTATGAAATAAGAAAATGAAAATGAAATAAAAATAGAAATAATAATAGGGAAAAGGGACAAATATACCCCCCGAACTATCGTAAATGGTATCTAAATACCCTCTGTTATACTTTTAGGACGTCCATGTCCTTACCGTCCAAATTTTGGTGCGTATATACCCTTATGATAGACGGCGGGACTCGTGGCATCATCTCAATGACTTGCCCAAAATTATTTAATTTTAACCCAAAAATTAAAATATCCAACCCAGATAACTTAAACCCCCTGACCCAAATTATAACCATAGACAACCTAACCCAAATGAAAAAAAAAAAAAGACAACGACAACCATTGCCTCTTTCATCTATTCCTCACTTCTTATTCAATGGCATCTTTTCAAATTTCACCTTCTTCAATACAACCATGGATTACTATGTCAAATTATGTCTTCTCCTCATCCACAACTGGAGCATTTGTTGTTGCTCTACCAGGGTGGCGGCAATGGTAGCAGACTACCTTCTCTGGTGCTCTGATGGTGGCAAGAGGGAGAGCGAAAGTTGCTCGGCGCTAATGGAGTTTGGGAATGCGAATGAGGTGTTATAGGGTTTTAATGGGAAGGAAATTGAAGATTGTAATTGATTAAAGCTTGGGAAATGAAGAACTTGGCCAGAAGTTCTAGAAAAATCGAAAAAGTCAGTATAGCTAGAGAAGATGCAGAATTGTTTTGGTTATAATTTGGGGGTGATTTTTATTTTTCAAATAAAAATGTATAATGATCTTGTTTAACTTAAGAGAGCACCCCTGATCACAACTGGATTATAAATTTGCACCACCAAACGAAAATATAAAAAATTAATTTCCCTATTTGCAGATTGTCTGTTGATATCAAACATCACCAAGATACATAATCAAGTAACGGTACCCACTCATGCTGAAGAAAACGATTTGACGATGGTGCAATACTTAGTTTCCTTCTACCTGTTGATCAGTATTGGGAAAATCATGAACAATTGATTCAAGACCAGAAACCCTAGTCCCCAAGACGCCGAATTTCTCCTCCAATTGGGAAGAAAGAGAGAGTCGATCAGCCCATAGATCTCTAAATATGAAGTGGGTCATTGTAGCTAAAGCTCAATTTAAACCTAATGTAAACCATAGTAATCTTGTTAGCATCATCTTCTCCTTCTTCAATTTGTGGATAGCTATTATGTTATTTGGGTGGATTTTTAAATTATTTGGGTGGGTCTTCAAAATTATGGGTCAAAATTAAATAATTTTGGGTAAGTCATTGAGATGATGGCACGTGGTCCGCTATCTATCATAAGGGTATATACGCACCAAAATTTGGAGGGTAAGGACATGGGCGTCCTAAAAAGTATAACGGAGGGTATTTAGATACCATTTACGATAGTTTGGGGGTATATTTGTCTTTTTTTCCCATAATAATATGATATTGAGGAGATAAAAGAAGATTCTTTTTTTAGAGATTAAAATAAAGAATTGAGTTGAAGTTGGTTGTCTGGAAAAAATAGAGAACTCTATATTATGTAATTATATTTCATTAATGATTTCACTTTTGTTTGAATTGTCCATTAATGTATATAAATTTTCACTTGCAATAGTGTTATTTAGAATTTAGAATAAAATATAATTTTATATTTAAAAAAGAATTTGAAAAAATGAAATTTTATATTACATGAAAATTATATAGGGTGATTATTTGGAAAAAAAGAAAGAAATAATTTATATTATGAAATAAGAAAATAAAAATGAAATAGAAATAATAATATAATATTGAGGAGAGAGAAGAAGTTTCTTTTTTAGAAAGTAAAATATAGAATTTGGTTGAAGTTGGTTGTCTAAAAAAATAAAGAACTTAATATTTGGAGAGTAAAATAGAGGGTAGAGTTAAAATGCCCTCACCTCTCTATAAATGGAGAATAGAGAGTGAAATAAAGAGGAGTTGGGAAACTCATTCTATATTTTACACTCCAAATATAAATAATAGAGAGTAAAATAACAGTGGGTTGGAGATGGTCTTAGTGATTCGAGCCCACAACTTTAGGATTGAAGGTATAGGTCGTATATCATTCAAATTTCAAGCAACCCCTCTTGTCCCATGAAAGTTATTCTGACCATTAATTATGTTATGATCCGTAATTCGTACTATAGTTTGTTGCTCATTAAATTTTGACCTTATAGTAACAAAAATTCTATCTATAGTACACATTTGCAATATTTGTCCATTGTGATACTTGGAATTCTATAATCATGAGATGTACATCTCTCAGAGATATATCTTTATGGTTTGTTATTTTCTCTGTATCATATGAACCACAATTTGCTGCTTTTCTTATCTGTGGCACTTCAGTTTGCTATGGTCCCTAAAGGAAAAGAAAAGAAGTCAACATCCATCTTTAACAAATTATCCTCAACCATTCATTTTACAATTATTATAAGCATGTGTTTCTATGGTGTATTTCTATCAAGTTACTATGGCATTCAATAATGTATCTATTGTCAGTTTATGTGACCTTTTTTTCAATGATAATAATGTAACTCCATTATTTTATGAGCTTAAAACTAAGGGATGAAAATAATCACTTAGTATATATTTTTATTTTTGCGCCAAAGTAACAGATTTTCGAGCTAACTCAATTTTAAAAGTTATATAGCTTAAAAAGTGAGAATTGATCACGTCATATTAACGAAAAGAGGAAAAAATTACATAGTAAGGTGAATATATATATATATATATATATATATATATATATACACATAATTATAGTTTAAAAAAATTATGCTGCATAGCAATATTTAGGATTTTATAGCATTACTACATAGAAATTGATTTTGATCTTGATTCTCTTAGTTGGAAGCATAAATTACACTCTATCACACTAATGGTTGTTGATACAACCTATATTGCACATGAATACAAGTGATGCACTCAAATACATTAATATATAAGGAATAAATACACTTGATATGATTGTATTCGTTGAGACAATTGATACAATTGTAAATTTGTTGAGAAACTTGATACAATTGTATTCCTTGATGCACTTGATACAAAGTAAATACACAAGCAACATACACACTTGATATTCGTCGTCACAAATTGTATTTGTTGATACACTATGATACACCTTGATATAATTGTATTGGTTAATACACAATGTATTTGTTGATACAAATCAATTGTATTTGTGATACAAATAAATTGTATTTACCTGATACAACAAAGACATCATGTATTTATTCACTCTCTCCTCTCTCCTCCTGCTAATATATAACTATGAATCGTAATCAAGCAAATTATAACTATAAATCTCTAATTAAGTTCAAACTATAGTCATTTTTTAAAGTTCCCCATTAAAGAGACCCCACATTCCTTGAAGGCCGATACGAGTTTCTTCACCCCTTTCAAACCCAAAACTAGATAACTGATGCGTAGACATTTTTAGGTCCATAATGATCAATCTAATATAAGGATCGAAGATTGGGATAAGAATGGTGATGGATCCTCAGGACCATAATACATTAACAAAGAAAATATTCATTAGATCTAAACTCAGCCCCAAAAACTAGCTGAATTAAGAATTATTCGAATCATATTAAAAATACCACATATCCCTTAAAAATCTGAGGGATATCCAACTTTTCACATTTGACCTTCAGAGGAAAATCCAACAAGATTTTTTTTTTTTTTGAGCTTTTATGCCAAGATTTGAATTAGAAATTGTAGAAAAATAGAATCTAGAGTTGTAATTTAAATAGAGGCGACTATATAGATTAATTCATTTATCGTATAAATGTAGAGTCCTAATGAATTTAGTAATATCGATTGCTCTCTTCTGTATTAATTATTACTTCATTCTTATAGTATACTAAATTATACTGATTGTATATTGACGCTGGATGTTGATACCAATAATTGCAAACATGGCACATATTTTTATCGCAAAATTATTAATTGATTAATATGATGATATCATCTTAATTTATAACTTGACCAGAACAAATTAATATTCTTAAGAGAGGCGGAATCGGGATTAAAAGTTTGTGGGTTCTAAATATTAGGACAGGAGAAAAATATCGCAAAACATGCTTCCTTTAAAAAAAGAGAAAGTGGGGTTTGAACCCAAAATACTAGTGTGAAAGGTATTTCCAACGCCCCTTCCCTACCAATGAGTTGTCAATTAATTTTAATAGAGGTTCACAAGTTAATATGCATATATATTAGTACAAGATCTACAGAAAAGCTAGTGGGTTCATTCGAACCCACAAACTCCCACCTAGCACCGTCTCTGATTCTTAAAATATAAATATCATATACAAATAAGATTTTACAAGTAATATTCATTACCATTAACAAGTTCACTCGAATCTAAAAAATTAAAAGGGAGAGCCCGCCTAAAGTTTTTAATAATCAAGATGAATAAATATGTCCATAATAAATCTGTAAATTCTTGAAAGTGAAGATTAATTAAGGAAAGTTTCAAAAATATACAACCTAACAAAAATTTTACGATACGTAACTTAATATTATAACTTAATTCGATATAATATTATATCTGAAAAAAACATTATACCGTAAACTTATATAAAGTATATCATAATATATAAAAGATACGTTTATACACAAATATAGACTAAATTCGATATAATATTTTATATTGAACTAAATATTTTCTTCAATGTAAGCATAATTTTCCTATTATTAATTGAAAAATCGATTAGGGAAAACAACTTCTGACTTTTTCACAAAAATTTTGAACTATCATAAATGTCTGACCAAAATTAAACAAAAAGACAGATAATGATACAAGCAATATTGTTAAATAATTAATGACTGATTAAGCTACTAATACAAAATAATAAAATAATTGATTAATTTATTCAAACTCTTGTCCTTATTTGACTTTGAAGAATATCAATTGTTCATGATTGAAGGGGAGAATTGATTTTTAATATAGAACTAGGGATGTAAATTATTTTTATCCATAAATAGATAAACACATAAATAAAAAATTTCAAGTATTTACCCTTTTTTTTGTTCATTTTATTGCCTTTTGTAACCATGTAACATTGGGGGATATCCCAAATTCTAAAGTGTTTGAGCCAAAAATAACTGTCAATTTTTTACTTGACACACCTATTAAGAAAAATAATAATTGACATAATAATTTTATCATTTTACCCCTATTAATTGATAGAATTTCAAAATTAATTTACTCATTAAAGATGATCTACCTTTTTCAAAAATATTACTAACTCTTTAAATAAATTAAGGATAAAACAGGTAAAAAAATATTGTCTTTTTTTAATTTGTCAAAAATAATAAGTAAAAACAGACAAGTAAAAAAATTAAAATTAAAATCAGACAAGTAAAAAGGTAACGTGGGAGTACCTAAAATAACTCCCCAAAAAGGAAAATAAAGCAATGAGATTTTTTTCCAAGATTTGAAATTGTAAGAAAAAGGAACTAGATTTGTACCATATCTCTTAATCACAAGATTTAGGATCCGTGGGTAACATGGACCCGATATATGTTTTTTTTTTCTTTTTTCCCGACCTATATGACACACATAATTTGGATAGTCAATTAAATTTTTTATATAATTTTTAAATATTTTAAATTGTTATTATTTTAATTTATAATACTTGTTCTATAATTTTTAAATAATATACTACTCCTTTTGTTCTAATTTACTTGGTAAAGGTAGATTTTTATATATTTTTAGAATATTTAAAGTTATTAATTATTATAATTTATAGTACTTTTAATATAATTTTCAAATGTATAACAAATTAAAAAGAAAAGAAAAATAAATAAATTGAAATTGAGAGAATACTAAATATCATAAGTTGTTAATTATAATATATAACGGATTATTTCAAATTGTTAATTATTATAGTTTATAATACTTTTAATATAATTTATTTTTTTTAAAAAAAAATAAATACATTGAAAATGAGAGAATATTAAAATGGGCCCCACACATTACCAGAAAATCACCTTGGCCAAGACTTGACTTGAACCTCTTATAATATGGGGAAAAGGGTCAAATATGCCCCTAAACTATTCGAAAATGTCTAGATATGCCCCTGTTTAAAGTTTGGCTCACTCGTGCCCTCGCTGTCCGACTTTTCGTCTAGATATCCCCTTATGG